CAAAACGACATTTGGCGGGGCTGCATGTGAGACCAAAGATTTGGATCCTTTCGAGAACTTTGGCTAAATGTACCAGGTGTTCTTCCCACGAATGTGAGAATATGATGATATCATCCAGATACGCTATACAAAACTCCCCCCAGAATAAGGCGAGTACTTGACGCATCAAATTTTGGAAGGTGCCCGGTGCGTTTTTTAAGCCGAAGGGCATCCTCTTGAATTGGTATTGGCCTCTATCAGGCGTTGAAAAGGCGGTATACTTTCTCGACTTTGGGGACATGGGGATTTGCCAATAGCCATTTTTAAAATCCATTGTTGAGAAAATCGTAGCGGTCCCTACAGTTTTGAGGACGTCGTGGATTCGGGGCAAACACTGTGGTGCGTCCTCAGTCTGTCCGTTGACGGGACGATAGTCGACACAAAAACGGAAACCCCCTCCAGGTTTATCAGCAACAACGATAGCCGAACTGAAATCAGCTGTAGCAGGTTCGATGACTTCTTGGGCGAGCATTTCCTTTGTCTCGGTGTCAATGAATCTTCGTTTTTCTACCGAATATTGACGGGGAGCAGCTCTGAAAGGTCGAGGGTTTGCTATTCGGATTTCATGACTAGTGGCAATGGTGTGGCGAAGTTTTCCGCCCTTATAGAAGATCGGGTCAAAAGTATTTAAGACGCTTCGAACTGCTGCTTCGTACTGAGTCGGAACATAGGTTAAATCAAATGGGAGCGGCTCTGTTGGCTCAGCGAGGGGAACTGATAGTGGTGTCAAATAAATTTGGCGGCGTTGCTTTCTTCCAAGGTAGAGACAATCGTTTCGATGTTCATGATGAACATCGTGATCTTTGAGCCATGCTCTACCAAGGACGATATCAGCACGCAAATCGCGGCAAGCGTGGAAAACACCAGGGTAAACTTGATCTCCGATGAGGGGGCAGAGGGTCAGCGAGCCTTGTAGTTGTATCGTGGCTCCGCTAGCGGCAAGTTTCGCCTGTGTAGGTCCTGATTGAAGAAGGGAACGTTCGTGAGCAGTGAGGACTGCTAATCGTACGAAGTTGTGAGTGGCGCAGGAGTCAATTTCTGCCACGATTTCTCGGGTACCAATGCGGACTCGAGCACGAGGCAGATCCTGTGCTGAAGAATAAATGGCGCTTAAGACTGGGAGTTCCCCGCGACGGGTGCTGTTGGAGTCGTACCCGCCGGGGCTCGCCAGTTTTCCGGACGGGGTTGAGAACGCTGAGTTTGGAGTACGGGACGGTCCCGATGAAAGTGCATCTCGGGACAGAAGTGACAAGGGGGCGGTGATCTTTGTTGACGAGGGTTAATTGGTTCCGAAACTGATTTTTTTGGAGGTTCTTCTTTAGTAGGAACCGATTTTCGGGGAGCACAATCGGCCTCGTCTTGTTCCGCTTTAGAGGACACTTCTAAGAGTTCCGTGACTGTTCTCGGTTTTGAAAGTCTAACGAGTTTGCGCAAGCTAGGCTTTAGGGATTCTAGCAGCAAGGTAGTAAGGTCTGCGGGATTAAATTGGGGATTTAATCGTCTCGCTAACAAGATTTTTTGCTGGAGAAAGATAGCGACAGGTTCTCTCTCTCCTTGTTTTTGCGAATACAGAGATTCATGTAATCGCATTACTGCAGTGCTACTAGCATATTTGCTTAACAGCAAAGACTCGAATTCTCCCCACGGCAGGGAGAGATCTTTGTACAATGCCCACCATTTCTGGGCATCCCCCTTCAGTCCCTTATTTACGAGCTGCGTTCGTTGGTCTGGATCCGTGCGAGCGTTACGGAAATATTTCTCACGAGCTTGCAGAAAGGTTTGTGGATCTTCATAATCCTGACCGTTAAATTCGGGAAAGGGGGGAGCGGGAGCCTGGATGGCTCTAATGAGTCCCATCCAATCTTCTGCCGTTAAATTCGACGGCATGGCTAACCGGAAGTCGCCATGTTTAAGATGAGGCTGTTTGAAGGATTGGGCGCCACCGGGTTTTCTTGACCACTCCCGGAAGTGTCTCTTGAAGGGGAAGTCGTGATGGTTTCTTGAGAGCTTCCCCCTTGAAGTGGAGAAACTCTAATCGAAGATGCCGACGCAGAAAGATCGCTACGTATACTTTGGTTAGTCGTAGGAGGGCTGTGTTGGACTGGAGGACCTAAGGGCGGATTGAATGGAGGTATTTCGATCTCCATGAGATTATCTAGCCCCTTGGCGATAGATTCTCGTCGGCTTGGACGAACTCCCGAACTCAGACGCTGCTCTGAAGCGTGTCTGATGAGTGGCGGCGAGCAGAAAAGTCCGTTCGCTCGACGACTTGGTAAGTTCCTTAAGGTCCTCTTTTCTGGATCAGAGGTTATGGGCGTTTGTTGGTTAGCTCGGCTGGGAGAAGGAGACATCAGGTGTGTGAATTCGTTCTGACATCCATCAGAACCAAAAGCTAGAAAAGCAATGTCGGGCCCCACGTTGGGCGCCAGTTGATACCAGTCAAATTGTAGGGGGGAGATTAACTGGCTCAGAAATGGACAATTGAGATTGTCGGTAAACAAAGGTTCGATGAGTTGAAAAGAGAGTTACTAATAAGCGCTTAATTGATCTACTTGATAACGGAGTGATGTCGAGAGGATAACCAGCTCGACGTTGATTGTTGTTGTGTTGAGAGAATATCCAACTCGAAGCATAGTGTAGTAAGCCCAAGAGGATAACCAACTTGGTTGATGTGTGTGGATATCGAGAGGATAACCAGCTCGATGAAAAGTGTTGGTGTATTGAGAGGATAACCAACTCAACGTACGATGTAGTGTGTCCGAGAGGATAACCAACTCGGTTGTTATGTGTGGATGTCGAGAGGATAACCAACTCAACGTATGATGTTGTGTGTCCGAGAGGATAGCCAACTCGGTTGTTATGTGTGGATGTCGAGAGGATAACCAACTCAACGTATGATGTTGTGTGTCCGAGAGGATAGCCAACTCGGTTGTTATGTGTGGATGTCTAGAGGATAACCAACTCAACGTATGATGTTGTGTGTCCGAGAGGATAACCAACTCGGTTGTTATGTGTGGATGTCGAGAGGATAACCAACTCAACGTATGATGTTGTGCGTCCGAGAGGATAACCAACTCGGTGGTGATGTGTTGATGTCGAGAGGATAACCAGTTCGGTGTTACTCTAATATTTAGAGGATAACCAGCTCAATGAAATATAGTGCACTGGTATTGAGAGGATATCTAACTCAATACTATGCTATGTTTAAAGACGGCGGGGGGGGGTGCATGCAAATAAATGAATTGAATCGAGTCAAAAGCATGTAAAGTTTCAAAGACAGTTTATTTTAAAAGTACAAGTCAATGAAGAAATTTAAGTATCGGAGCTCGGGTAAATATTCTAAGTTCCTAAGGACGAAAATATTTTAAGTTCAAAATTGGACGAAAATATTCTAAGTTCAAAATTGGGTGAAAATATTATAAGTCCAAAATTGGACGAAAATATTCTAAGTCCAAATTTCTTCGAAAATTTTCCAAGTCCAAATTTCTTCGAAAATTTTCTAAGTCCAATTTTGTGCGAAAATTTTCTAAGTACAAACTTCGGAATTTTAGTATAAGTATAACGTAGTGGTTAGGCTGAGCGGAGGAGGAAGACCAACCTCTAGGTGAGCTCAGGACAGAACTGACGTTTTGGTCCAGTGCATCGAGCTCCCTCGATCTGCAACTTCCCAAAACGTACGGTGGGAGAACTTCTCTAAGAGAGAGGGCAACTCGCGTCTGCGCTTCCTATCTCTGACTTACAGAAGTCATTTGGCCAAAATTTGTAGAAGATATTCTTAAAAATCGTCATTTTCAATGTTTCACAAAAATTTGAATAACTTCTAAAATAATAAACGCTTTTTAATAATCTTAGGCTTATTTTAAAGGTCATTTTCTACGGAATAAGAATTACTTATAGGCATTAACCTGTAATTTTTTACTTGGAATAAGCATGCCGTCAAAGTTGGACAAAAAAATTCAAAAAATTTGAAACAATATTATTAAAAGAAAAATAATTTTTGAAATTCAAACATATTTTTTTATTAAATTTTCTTGAAGAATCTACACCATATCATGTTTTATATATGTTTTAGAATAGTTTTTAGTACAAAAAATTTATTTCAAATTTTTCCAATTTTTTTGTCCAACTTTGACGTCATGCTTATTCCAAGAAAAAAATTACAGGTTAATGCCTATAAGTAATTCTTATTCTGTAGAAAACGACCTTTAAAATAAGCCTAAGATTATTAAAAAGCGTTCATTATTTTAAAAGTTATTCAAATTTTTGTAAAACATTGAAAATGACGATTTTTTAAGAATATCTTGAAAAAATATTTGATAAATGACTTCTGTGAGGTCTTATTCTTTTCAAAATTTTATCGTCTTTCAAAATATAAACCAAAAAAAAATTTGAGTTTTCATAAATTTTATGTTAAAAAATTTTTTTCATTCCTTCAAAAATGGGTGGACTGACAATTTTGGCCGGTACTGTATATATATATATATATAATACATAGCATAAAATATACATATTACAATATAACCTAATAACCCTTTATCATTATACGCTAAAATACATTTAAAATTGTTAATTACTAGTATTGCTTCAAAAAACGCTTGGTTTTAAACAACTTACCGCGAAAGAATGTCTAAAAAGAAAACTAAAAAAAAGATATTACAATTTTCCTTTAAGATAGTAAGCATTGGCTCGGCCAAGAAAATACGGGAACGAAAAATAATGTTTTGTTTTTTCCCTACCATTTAGTGACCTGTATCATTGTTAACTTATTACACGTTTATATCCAGAGTATTGTTGATGACTATGTATAATAATAAATTATGGTATTTTATAGAATGTCAGTCACGCAGAACTTATCATTTTAAATAAAGCGTTTATCAATGCCAAACTAAATGTTAAACAAACATTTAAAGGTGTATTAACACGGAATTACCATGCAGAAGAAGAACAACTAGATTTTTCTAATGTATCACAAGCAGCAACAGCAGTCAACTCATGGGAATCAAAAGGAGCAAATGGCAAAATCAACGTAATTCTGAGTTCCGGTTCATAATGTTTTAAAAATTTTAAACAGGTAACAAAAAATTTTCAATATTATTAATAATGCTTCTGACATTCAATTATTATTAAAAAATAATCTTTAATTCAGTTTTGTTATTTACATTTTTTTGTTGCATTTTAATTTTAATATTTCTTATTTTAATTTATATCCTTTTTCTAATATTCAGACAATTTCGATCCAAATACAGACATGGTTGTCACTAGTGTATTTTCGTTTAAAAGCGAATGGAAATATAAATTCGAATATTTTAATGATCTCTACTTTAATAGTACTGACGGACGGTGTTCTTCAGTACCAGGAATGAAACAAAGTAATACCGCATATCATGGAAATATTTCTGAAATAAATGCAAGTTTTGTAGAATTGCTATACAAGGTAAGAAATATTTTTTTCTAGTCACTTTGAATGGCTTAAAAATTAACACTAATTTTCTATATAAATATTAAGGCGGAGTAACACCTTTGAGGCCTCTTTTGAACCTGTTTTTCATGAATTTTTTTAAAACACGGGAATAAAGTAAACAAAATTTGGTTTTGAGGGATTTATTTGTAAACTTTTTAAGTTTAAAAAAATATAAAAAAAGTAAAAAGTCGATTTTTAGGGCAAAAATTTGTCAAAAAATCTGTTGCCAAAAAAACAAAGAAACCAAAAAAAAATCTGCTACGTACTCGAAAGCATTAGTAAATGACGATCAAAAAATACTTTGTCCGAAGTCAATCCGATCAAAACAGTTCTTGCTAGACTGCCCACCGTTTTGAAAAACGTCATTTCGAGAAAAACGCGTTTAAAGTTTTGAAAGCACTTGAAGCGCTCTTGGGCACCTTTTGCAGATTTTAATTTTTTTCACATAAAATAACTTCGAAATCATCTCTAATGATATAATTTCTATTCTACACATTACAAAGTATCGTTTGAGCAAAAAAAAATTCGATTTTTTTTCGGGTCAAAGGTGTCACTCCCCCTTAACTTTTCTTTGTTTACAGGGCGATAATCTTAAAATGATTATTGTACTCCCCAACAATGGTGTGAGTCTTGAGGAAGTTGAAAGAGGTTTAGAAGGATATAAATTCCAGAAAGTGAGAAGTCTTGTTCATATTAAGATGCCCAAATTCCGGATTGAGGCTTCCATTGATTTAGTAGATATTCTAAAGGAGGTTTGTTTTACTGCGTTCTAATATCTATTTTCCTATATTCGTTAATTTTTAAAACTTGTTAATCGATCGGAAAGTAAATTATATTTAATAACATATGTGGACGTCCACATGAAAAGGGCCTATTTTGGCACTATTGGACTTATCTACATGGGCGAATTCTTTGCAAAGTTTGGAAAATTTTGAGTGGTCATAGAACTTTTTTGGTGAAAAATTTGATTAGTTACAGAATTTCAAAGTTTAGAACGCCAAAACCTCATTTCGAGAAAAACGGAATTAAAGATTGTGATACCAATTGATGGTGATATCTTTGGTTCTTCTGGAAAGTTATTCAGATAAGAATTGTTTCCAGTCCAGGGCACCTTAAAGATGAAAAACCAATAGGTTTAAAATTTTTAAAACCACCCCCCCCCTCTATTTTGAAAAATACGAAAATTCGACAAAATGGGCCCTTTTCTAAAATGGATGTTTTAGGGCACCTTAAACATGAAAAATCATGAGGTATTAATTTTTTCCCCTCCATTTTGAAAATACGAAATAATTTTAAAACGACCGACAAAATGGGCCCTTTTCATGTGGACGTAGGGTGATGTGGGGTGATATCTGAAACTTGGGGGGATGTGCAACACCGACGATTTCTGATCTACAGTTCGATATTGAACAGAGCCAAGTATTGCCATTTGTTTGTGTCCTCAGTAGCTTGTTTTTGATATAAAACTCACGAGACAGCTCGCAGCTAGGTTTGCTGTACGTAAGTTGACTTAAATTTCTCGAGCAGGAAATATTTTTCGCGCTTTACATTTCTAGTCGTTTCGTGAAGGGTTTTAATTTATTTTATAGATAAGAATGTGTTTATTGTTGGTTTTTTAAGTGTTTTTAAATATCTGTTTATATTACTTCCTCATAGAGGAAGTATTGTAATACTAAAATTTTTCGAGTTCGATTTTTTGACATATCTTTATGTTATTTGACCTCAGGAGTTCAAAAATGCCATTTTTAAAAATCTCATTCCGTATGTGTGTGTGTGTGTGTGTGTAAACATCACATTTTCATAAATATCTCAAAATCATGAAGAGCTTTTGGGTTGAATTTTTTTTTAAATTGTAGATCTCACCTGCGGACATAAAGTGAGAGTACTTTCTGATATATTAATAAAGTTTAACTAAATTTTTTTTGGATTTTTAATCTTGCAAAAAAACGTTTTTTGCCTATAACTTAAAAAAAAATGTTAGGACACCTATAAATGTTTTTCCATAATTTTGTAGAGTTTTTAGACGCATCTTTTGAGCCCTAATTGAACATTTTTCGTTCATATTAACCAGAGTTATTAAACATTTAAAAATCAAAAATTTTGGAAAATAAGACTTTTTTGAAAATTTTGTTGAAAAACGTAGAAGTAACTTTAAAATTATCGTTATCAACGTGTAGATCATTAAAAAATGCTTCGATTGACCTATTTTTGAACCTAATTCGATAATAAATTTCGAAATTATTGGTATTTTAAAAACCAAAAATTGTGAAAAATGACATTTTCTCAACTTTTTTGTTTGGAAATTTGTATTTAATAGAGGTGTGCAAAAAGCTCGAATAGCATGGTCGAGCTCGAGCCGGGCTTGATACTCGAGCATTATAAATTTTTTAGTTACTCAAAAATATTTGTGTGCTCCAAAAATTCAAGTGCTCAAAATTATTTTAGCTTTTATACTGCACGTATCGGATGGAATTTGGTTCAAGTTTGGATTGATTCTGCTCAGCTCTGCTAGAAAAACGAAAAGCTTGAAATACTCGATCGAGCTTTTTGCACACCTCTAGTATTTAACTATTAAATTATTGTAACTATCTTGTAGGGTATTTAAAAATACATTGATTGACCCAAAATTTAATTACTTTTACCATATTTATAAAAAGTTATTCATATTTATTTAATTTGTTCCATGTATACCTAAAAGGTTTTTACATTTGTTCCCGCAGATGATTAAAATTATATTACATAAATTAAATTACATTCCCTCACAGCACCGGGATATTCAGGATATCCCAGAGACGTCCTGGGGATATCGATTTGTTTTCGGAAGTTTGGATATCCCTGGATTATCCTCTGGATATCCATGGACGTCCCTAGGATATCCCAGAGATATCCAAACTTCCGAAAACAAATCGATATCCCCAGGACGTCTCTGGGATATCCTGAATATCCCGGTGCTGTGAGGGTTATTACAAGAAAAGAGGTTCGCAGAAAGTTATTTGCCCTTTTCAAGGTTTTAATTTCTAGACTTCTTCGTCCTGATTCCATTCGCCAGATATAATTGGGTGTGTTTCTGTCTAGTCCCATAATCATTTTAACATATCTTCCCTGAGATTTTTCGAGTTTATCTGCTTTTTCCCAACCTAATATTTCTACGCCATATAATATACCCGATTTAGCTAAGGTGTCTAGGAGGTAAATTCTTCTTTTAAGATTATTTATATTTGCTCTTTTCATGACCCCCCAAGCAGAATTAATTGCTTTTTGTGTCTTCCCTACCATAGCGTCAATATGTTTACTAAATGTTGGTTTGGTGGAAAACCAGAATCCTAGATACTTGTATTTATTAACTATTTGTAATTTTTTCCCAAATATACTCCAAGATTCCCCTTTTTTTTCTTTCCTCCTTTTCTAAAAAGTTATTCATTGATTTCTATTATTTTTATCTCTATGAGGAAGTAAAGTGTTCATGAAATGAGCACCAAAATTATAAAAAAAATATACAACTTGGCAGCGGTTTTTTGTGTTTTCATTGCATTGTATTGCGTACAAATTATTTTTCGCAAAATATCATATTTGGGGTGATGTGCAACACTTTTTTTTGGGGTGGACGTAACTACTTTTTACGTACCATAACTGCGATTCACATGATGAATAAAAAATTCTTAGTTATTTTCCTTTAATTATATTCCTTATTCAGTTATAAATAAATAAAAAATTAAACAAAACAATTTTTTTTTCTTTAGTGAAATTTTCTTATTTTTAGAGGTCAACTATACCTTAGTAAATTTTTTTTGGCAGATTTCGATTAGTTTGCATTGAAAAAGCCTAAAATTAATAATTAAAGAGATTTTCATCGATATTTATGCATTACATACCTGAATTTTACTGGTGTTGCACATCAGCCCAACTTTTTTGTAAAATGCAAAAACAGACGTTTTTGAAAAAGCGAAAAATTTTTAGGAAAAATTTAAAATTCTGAAAATCTAATAATGCAGAAATATTCTATTATAATGCCTCTAAGTCATTCAATTTTGAAATATTTAAAAATTTAATTATTTGACATGTTTTTCGTCCAACGAAAAAAAACGTTGCACATAACCCCACAACACCCTACACATATAATATTTTCTAATTTTAGCATTATTTTTTTCTTTCTAAATAGATGGGTGTGCAGGAAGTATTTACTATTAGAGCGAATTTAACTGGAATTTCTGGTAAGTTTTAAAAATGACACATTATTAATTACCAGAGGATATTTACATTTCACAATTTGCTCCTAAGGAATAAAAATGACAAATAAATGTCATGTATTACAGGTAAAGTGCAACTCCTCAGAAATGATGATGAAATGGACGTTGATGAATACTTTACAGCTGATCGTCCAATCCATTTCAAAATTATCAAAACAGTAGGTGATCATGACGGTATTGTATTGTTCTCCGGAAACTACAAAGGAAAGGAGTAAATTTACAACATTTTATCGAATTTATATTTTTTAAATGTAAATTATTTCGTGTATTTTATACACTCGAATGTGAACCTATTTTCTGTTTATCTCATAAATTAGAGTATATTCAGTTCATGTTTATGATATTGAAGTAAATAAATAAAATAATTATTAATATACGACTTTTGGATATGTAATTTTCATGCTACCAATTCTTTTCACAAAAATTCAGATCCTTTCAATAGTCGTTTCACATACACAACTCATGTGATGGAAGATCACGTTACAAAAATAAATATAGAAAGAGATTTACCAACCAATTTAATATTAATTAAATTCTTTTCATTAAAAGCTTTGAAATAAAAAAATTGTTTTTTAAAAGTAAAAAATGTAAATGTTCGTCTTTTTGTGAATTCCGATTAGAAATCTTTTTTGAAGGTATAATCTACTATCCTCACATTATTCATGATATCAGGAAAGAAGTGAATCTGAGGGTGACTGCTACTCTCCACATACAAAAAGTCTGAGAGGATCTTCGGGTCAGTTCCAGGTCAGTCAGTCAGAATAAGGCTGACCTCTTAAACTCTCTTGCCAAGATAAAAACGGTTAAAATAGGAAGAAATGGAAAATCGTAGAGGTGTTTTCCTGTTGAAGTGAGAGGGTGAAAAAAACAAGATTCAAACCATAGTGCAGTATCCCTTTGAGACTACAAGAAACAATCTTGGATAGTAGGTTCCTGAGATATTTCTTGTTTTTCGTCAGGGAAAATAAAATCTTTTTCTAAATGAATTTTTAATCAACACTTCAACGAAATATTTTGTCACGTAGGTTATATCAAAAATTAAAATAATCAAAAAAGAGAAAGTAACATTTTGATTTTACTAATTAGTACTCGAAAGATTAAAATGTTATTCGACATTCAAAAATTGGTTTCTGCCCTTAAGGTAAAAATTTATGTCGTGTAATACAATTTATCAAAATTGGCACTAACCGGAAATAAACCAGTAGTTAACAGGAATTTAGTAAGACTGGCACCCTGTGAAGACTAGCCCGCACAACGAACGTGATCTGAAGTTACAATCTTGTTGGAGAACCAATGAAATCAATGTTGGTCTGCCTTCGTGCTGAGCTCCAACATTTTAGTGTGTATCGAAGGAGGCGACTATTAGAAGAGGTACTTGATTAATAGGTCTTTAATAGCACCTAAAATCTGTGGATTTAGGAGATTGCGTGATGGAGATTTTGATTCATGATCATTTTCCGAAATCCAATTACTCCAAAATATATATGATAATTTCCAGATGATTAGTATTACGGAAATTGTAATTTCTCATTATTTCTAATTGTTCTATAACATAACTCAATTATTATACATATTACATAATTTAAATAATAAATAACTTGTTCTTGGAAAATGTAAATTCATACTAAATTAAAATCATTCTTCTGTATACCTACTCTCTAGACATCTACTTAAAGGGAATGCTTTTATGGACTTCTAGCACAGCAAAATGCATTTCAATCGGAATACCTGTCTTCTCATCCGAAAGATAAGGCATCTCAATTTCAGCGGCTCTCTTCCGGTGGTGAAGCTTATTGGCAAAGGAGGAAAAGGAACATCTCTTAAATTCGTGTAAGTGATCCGCGAAATATCGATTGTCATCGAAGCAACCAATCGAGAGAAACTAGTGATATTATATAGATTTCTTTTTCTTCTCTTAATCAATTGCTCCGTCGAATATCACTTAGTGCAGGCAATTGAATTTTCAGATAAAACTCTATCGTATCAAATAAAACTAAATAAAAAGTGGGGGTGAAAGTAATTTTTAAGAAAATTCTTTTATAAATGTTGGGAAATTTTTTTAGGAAGAAAATAATTTTAAAAATTGTTGGAGATTGAAGAAGGTGGAATGAAGACATTTTCTGAAATGGCTTTTGCATCAATCTCCAAGGAAATATCCATGAAGAATCAATGGAACTGAACCGGTATATATAGCTTCTGAAGATGTTGTAAACTTGGTTCTCTACTCAATCCATCCACCTGTTTATCTATCTTTCTCTCAACTTTCTTGTCTTATCTACATGTTTTCGTTGACTATACCTTACCGTCTGCTATTGACCTCTTACTCTAACCACGTCGATATTCTATGTATGATAATATCACTCTGCATTTGAAAGATGAATGATAAAACAGATGAAATACAAAGATAAAATGGAGTCTGTTTCCATCTTCTTGTGGTATATCATTATCATAATTCAACAGTTTTTTGATAAAATTGAAAAAGGATATTTACATCATCAGCATATAGAATTTTGATTAATAGAAAGAAAATTGTTATCCTATTTCGAAGTTAATTATAAAATCTTTTTTCTTATTTATAGAAAGTAATTTCTAACCTTTATACTCTTTTTAATAATTACATCTAGAAAAATACGAAAATATGTACTTTGTGAGTAGAACATAAAAATAAATCATCCTTTTACATTGCTAATAAAAAAATAAATGGCCACGTAGTAGTAAAAAAATATCACAATCCTGAGATGCGTCCAGTTCATATCGCTATCTATATAAATCAAAATCATATACTCAATGAATTTTGCATTGCATTAAATTTCCATGACGTTAATTTCATACGAGATATTAATTTTTATGCGAGTAAGTTGGGAAGGAGTGCGTTATGTGGACGAACTGAAATTTCGCAACACTGGGATTTCTGTAAACAGCACGGCACTGAATTTTGAGTTTTTATTTAGTGAGAAAGTTTCACGCCAGACCTCTGACTTCCGACCTCTGGGGAGAGAAATGTTCGCTCGTCTGAAACAACACGCCCCGTTGGCAGACTCTCTTACCACCACCCAGACACTCTACACTTTCTTTTACCTCTTTGATTACATTCTACGAATTGATAAAATTAATGATTTTCACAAAAAAAAGAATGGAGGAAAATATTTTGTTCACCGCTAAAATTATTCCACATGAAATAATTCTATTTATTATATTATACAATTTATTTTAAATATATATGAATTGAACATAAAATGAATTTGCTTTAAAAACGTAGCGAAGCATTTATTTTACGACTGTGGGAATAAATTTTGAAATCTATTAATTGAAAACGTAAAATGATTTTTATTTTTAAAACTCGTCTGCATATGCAATATTATTTCCCGCGCATATACACGGCGATAAATTCAAGCCATTCATGAATTCATTACTTCCGTTTGGTTGCATCGTGGCACTCGAAAACGAACAAGAATTCCACTGAATGTTAACTGAAAATAAGGACACACGTATAAGCATTAGACACTCACGAATGCTCTTTCCTTGGATGGAACTCGACAAAAGAGTCCAAGGACTTTAAAAATGTCTTAGAAGTGTATTTTATGGAGATGCTGGTGTCTGTTTCCGGTTTGGCGCTCCTAGAAAACCATCTTTTTATATTATCCTCAAAGACAATGATGTTCCTTCCAATCTGATAAAAATACGCCATTTTGATTTCACGATTGACATGAAAACACATTTTTCATTTGAATCGTTATAACGTGGATATCTTATCTCATAGAAAATAAATTGTTTTTCAGGAAAATGTACCATTTGTATTGCAAGCTATTATAAAAAATTGTAAACTTATGTTAATTGTTTTACTACTAAAACGAGATTTTAATTTGTATCATCATCATCATTAATTGCGTGTGTACGATAATATGTTGGAATCATAATAAGTGAATACACTGCAAACCCGATCAGCGGTCAGCTCCGGGGGTGCTTGACCGCTGATCGGGCGTAAACATATAGGACCGTACAAACTGTTTTATGATGGGTTACCATTACTTGACTACTGAATTTTTTTTTAAGGGGCCAGAGCGTCTTTAATGTATACGCTACTGCCACAACTTTTCGACTCCCTCATGGCCCCTCGCCCGCCCTATCTACAAACGACCTAAACAAGTGACCACTGATCGGGTGACCGCTGATCGGGCTTGCAGTGTATATATTTCAGGAAGAATTTAGAAAAAACTGCATCATGCTGTCTTCCACTCTTTAAATCATATAGTCTTTTTCTTAACTTTCCACATTGTCCAATAACACCGGCACAAAAAAAGAGTAAATTTCGTTTGACTGGACTGCCATGTGGTAGGTTTTCTTCCTTAAGATGTATCTAAAGAGTAAAACGTAGTCCCACCTCAAAGTTAGTTCGCGTTCTCTTTTAACAGGCATGGTGGGGTTGGGAAGTTTGAGAATTTGGTTTCTATGTTAATTTACTTAATTTATACATCTAACACTAATTTTTTATTTCTTCTGAATGCTGATTTAGATTCAGTGACTAAAGTAACATAAAAGTTGGATATATAAAAAAATTTAAAATAGCGGATTCAAAATGACGGATATAAAATGGTGGAATTTTTAAAAAATTGTTCGGATTTCCTTGAAACTTGTTACTCGAGGGTTTTTAGGGTAGCTGTTTAGGAATATGATGTTAGTTTATAAAAATTCAAAATGGCGGATCCAATATGGCGGCCAAAAATATTTTGAAATGAATGAATTCAATTGAAACTTGTTACTTGGTTGGTGTTTTATGGGTGGCTAAATCAGAATCTGACTTTAGATTTTAAGAATTTAAAATGGCGTATCCAATACGACTTACGATGAAATCAGTTTCACATTTTCTTGGTTCTTGTTACACCACCGGTCAAAATTGAGAGGCCACTTTCCAAAGTGGCACTAAAAACATGAAATTCTTTGAATGTTGATAAATTCGTTCAAAATTAACGTAGAAGGTTTTTTAAGATAGTTTTGGAAATATTAAAAAATTTGCTGTTAAATGCTATTCGCTCTATTGTGAAGCACTTTTCCACGACTTCTCATTTTCGTACATAAATATAAATTCACATTTTCTTTATGGAAATGGCAAACTGAAGTGTGGTGCTGTGAATGCGTTCTTAGTACGGTCTGCTCATGCGCAGAGAGCAACAAAGTTCACGTCGCGAAAAGTTAAACTGTTTGACTATATCAACCG